CTTTAAGAAGCTCCTGCTCTTTCAAAACTGCATCTCCAGAAAGTCAGCACAACACGGCTCCTCTACTATCCCTTGAACAAGGTTTTTACCAGCGTCGTTCTGAGAAGTAGCTCCTATGATGAGCTCTGATGCTCAGTTCCACCAGAGGTTTGCTAACTGCTGCTGGCTAGTCTGAAGGAGCTAAACTCAGTGGCTGCAACTGGAAAAGACGAGAAGACACACCTTCAGCACCCCCAGGCCTTTTCTGAATGGTTGCTATGGAGATGAATCCTTAGTGAACATGTATTTTGATTAATTTAGTCAATGAGTGTCGTGTCAGGACCTTCTTCGTAAGAAGAAGCACAAACCCAAAAGAGTCACTGTGTTCAGATTAAGAAATACAATTCACCTCCTTTTCCTTTTCCATGACTAAACAAGACAGAATATGTACACAAACAGTTAAAAGGTAAATAAAATGAGTGATTGGTGGGATCCTGTGGTGGCGCAGGGGCAAAGCCACGTAATGAGCCCTTATTCCTCGTGACGGTGGTTGCATGTTCGATTCCCGGCCTGGCAACATTTGCCGCATGTCTTCCCTCTCTCTCATTACCCTACTTTCAAATAAAGGCCAATAGTGCTGAAATGAAAGGAAAAGAAGTGATTGGTTGCTTCTAGAGGAGCTTGATTTTTGTCACAAATTATATTTCTCATAGTCGTCAACAAATATGTAAATAAGAAAATATAGTTACTTATTTCAACTTCCATAAAAACACGACATTTAAATGTAACATCAGACCAATGGAGAAACAAAAGAAGACAATCTTAACACAGACGTGGGCTTAAGGAAAATAGTGTTTGACACCTGGTTGAAGGTCATCATGTTTCAAAAGGTTTTAATCGGACAAATGATCTGATTTACTAAGCAAATGCTGTGATTTCATGGGAGATAACAGAGTTTTGGACAGTCTCTATTGCTGTTATCTGATTATTGCTCTTGTGCGTTTCATAATTGTGACTTGATCTGCATGTTTTGTGCACTTCAGCTGAAATGATGACACCTCTTCATCACCGACTGACTTTATTAAAAAGAATGAATTCAAAATACACAACAGACTCAAAATATACACTTTTTTTTTAGCAAAACATACGTGATCTAGGGGTTTCTTCTCCAAACCATGAGTCAAAAACTATTGAAACTGAAAATAAATAAAGAAAATAATAATAATAATGATGAGTTCCCATCTTTGGGATCCATTGTAATCAGTACATTATTATAGATGCAGAATATCTTTTTCTGCAGTATTCTCCAATTTAACAAGCACAACAAAAATCCTCAACATGCGTCAAATATATTGGTCCATTAATTGTGGTTCAAAAGCAACTTTGAACAGGTGGTTGTCATGAATGAACAAAGATCCGCAGAAATCTTCTTTCATAAAGCCTTAAAAAAGGAGAGGAAACTTTCTTAAGGCTTTAGACAAACGATAAACATCCCCTTTAGATGTTTTCACGTAGCAAAGGAACATATGAAAACTGAAATGTCACACTGATAATTATGTAGCATAGAACACTGTGGAACAAAATACAATACGAATTGAAATTAATATTATGAATTAATTCTTACTATAAGAATACAAACAAATATAATGATTTACATTGAAAAAATATGACAAGACCTAGTTTAATTGTGACTCTTATAAACCTTATTACACTAACTAAATATATGAGTCAGTTTAACAATAACTTTGTCATTATACTAGTGAGACAGGATCTAGGTCTGTCATGTATTTTCAGACATCTGTGATATTTATTTAGATCATAACCTGAACTGAGCCGTCAGTTATCGATCAGTGCAACACAAACGCGGACTCTGCCTCGGCTGAAAAGCCTCCTGAGGTGTTTGTGGATTTCCTTCATCTTCAGGCCGTAGATTACTGGATTAAACAGGGCTGATACAGAACCACCTGCAAACTCATGATCGAGCGCGCCGCTTTGGGCAGATCGATGTCCAGTCGGGCTATGATGACGTCGTATGAACACAGACACGAAAAGCTGACGAGAACCAGCAGGTGCGGCGCGCAGGTCTGCACGGCTCGTTTCCTGGCGTCCAGGCCCCTTCTGTGGGATATGACGAGTATTTTACAGTAGGTGAAAAGGATGAACGCCAAGGGGACAAATATAGTAGTGGCTAAAATGAACACGCCATATATCGCGTAGCCCCTGCGGGGGTCATACAGGAAAGCTTGGTGACGGCGTTGTTGCAGAAAATCCCATTCAGTGTGTATCCACATAGTTTTGAACCGTTGACTAAAATAAGTGACGGCACGAGCTGACAGGACGGCAGGAACCACGCTAGAACCAGCAGAGCTGTCACTGTCCTGCTCCTCATGACGGTTTGATATTGCAGCGGTTTACAGATGGCGACGTAGCGGTCATAAGCCATGGCTGCCAAGAGGAGGAACTCAGCACCACACAAAGAGTAATAAATCAAAGCCTGAATTTTGCATGCCAAATAGGATGTAGTCGGCACGTCGGATACGAGGTCGACGAGAAGCTTCGGGTAGATGTTGGTGCTGAGTAGGAGCGAGTTGCAGAGCAGAGCCGCGATGAAGACGTACATGGGCTGGTGGAGGCTCTTCTGGGTCCAGATGAGACACAGGATGGTTGAGTTGCTGCAGAGTATGAGGACGTACACGCTGGACGTCATCACAAAGTACAGAAAGCGGTGTTTCTGCAATTCAACGTGGCCGCCAAAAGTTACATACGTTGCGTTCGGTTCATCGTTCTTTCGATCCATTATAAAAGTTTCAACAAAGCAATGACAGGAACCCAAAAGGCGCTGCCTCACAGGAATGCAGTTCCTGTTAATGGATGTCACAACGTGGCGGTTCGGGTGTGCTCACCTCAAAGTGAGCTGTCCGAGTCCAGGCAAAGTTTTTATCCAGTTGCTTTTCTCTCTATGGACCTCATTAAGGTGTTTACATCTGACAGGAACTCGGGTTCATTTAGGCCTAAGAACTTGGTCGTGAAAATTTCATCACTATTTGCTTCTCGTATGTCAGAAACTAAATGAAAAGTGTTACGTGTTTTCCAGCCACATAAAATCATTTTATAGGAACTATACTGACTTCAGGTGTTATAAAAATGCTCCATATATCAAATGTGATTTAAAAGAAAACTTACTTCCTAATTTAACACCTTGAAATTGGGCCTCTGTCTCTTTAAGCTCCTGCTCTTTCAAAACTGCATCTCCAGAAAGTCAGCACAACACGGCTCCTCTATTATCCCTTGAACAAGGTTTTTACCAGCGTCGTTCTGAGAAGTAGCTCCTATGATGAGCTCTGATGCTCAGTTCCACCAGAGGTTTGCTAACTGCTGCTGGCTAGTCTGAAGGAGCTAAACTCAGTGGCTGCAACTGGAAAAGACGAGAAGACACACCTTCAGCACCCCAGGCCTTTTCTGAATGGTTGCTATGGAGATGAATCCTTAGTGAACATGTATTTTGATTAATTTAGTCAATGAGTGTCGTGTCAGGACCTTCTTCTTAGGAAGAAGCACAAACCCAAAGAGTCACTGTGTTCAGATTAAGAATTACAATTCACCTCCTTTTCCTTTTCCATGACTAAACAAGACAGAATATGTACACAAACAGTTAAAAGGTAAATAAAATGAGTGATTGGTGGGAGCCTGTGGAGGCGCAGGGGCAAAGCCACGTAATGAGCCCTTATTCCTCGTGACGGTGGTTGCATGTTCGATTCCCGGCCTGGCAACATTTGCCGCATGTCTTCCCTCTCTCTCATTACCCTACTTTCAAATAAAGGCCAATAGTGCTGAAATGAAAGGAAAAGAAGTGATTGGTTGCTTCTAGAGGAGCTTGATTTTTGTCACAAATTATATTTCTCATAGTCGTCAACAAATATGTAAATAAGAAAAAATAGTTACTTATTTCAACTTCCATAAAAACACGACATTTAAATGTAACATCAGACCAATGGAGAAACAAAAGAAGACAATCTTAACACAGACGTGGGCTTAAGGAAAATAGTGTTTGACACCTGGTTGAAGGTCATCATGTTTCAAAAGGTTTTAATCGGACAAATGATCTGATTTACTAAGCAAATGCTGTGATTTCATGGGATAACAGAGTTTTGGACAGTCTCTATTATCTGATTATTGCTCTTGTGCGTTTCATAATTGTGACTTGATCTGCATGTTTTGTCCACTTCAGCTGAAATGATGACACCTCTTCATCACCGACTGACTTTATTAAAAAGAATGAATTCAAAATACACAACAGACTCAAAATATACACTTTTTTTTTAGCAAAACATACGTGATCTAGGGGTTTCTTCTCCAAACCATGAGTCAAAAACTACTGAAACTGAAAATAAATAAAGAAAATAATAAGAATAATGATGAGTTCCCATCTTTGGGATCCATTGTAATCAGTACATTATTATAGATGCAGAATATCTTTTTCTGCAGTATTCTCCAATTTAACAAGCACAACAAAAATCCTCAACATGCGTCAAATATATTGGTCCATTAATTGTGGTTCAAAAGCAACTTTGAACAGGTGGTTGTCATGAATGAACAAAGATCCGCAGAAATCTTCTTTCATAAAGCCTTAAAAAAGGAGAGGAAACTTTCTTAAGGCTTTAGACAAACGATAAACATCCCTTTAGATGTTTTTCACGTAGCAAAGGAACATATGAAAACTGAAATGTCACACTGATAATTATGTAGCATAGAACACTGTGGAACAAAATACAATACGAATTGAAATTAATATTATGAATTAATTCTTACTATAAGAATACAAACAAATATAATGATTTACATTGAAAGAATATGACAAGACCTAGTTTAATTGTGACTCTTATAAACCTTATTACACTAACTAAATATATGAGTCAGTTTAACAATAACTTTGTCATTATACTAGTGAGACAGGATCTAGGTCTGTCATGTATTTTCAGACATCTGTGATATTTATTTAGATCATAACCTGAACTGAGCCGTCAGTTATTGATCAGTGCAACACAAACGCGGACTCTGCCTCGGCTGAAAAGCCTCCTGAGGTGTTTGTGGATTTCCTTCATCTTCAGGCCGTAGATTACTGGATTAAACAGGGGCTGATACAGAACCACCTGCAAACTCATGATCGAGCGCGCCGCTTTGGGCAGATCGATGTCCAGTCGGGCTATGATGACGTCGTACGAACACAGACACGGAAAGCTGACGAGAACCAGCAGGTGTGGCGTGCAGGTCTGCACGGCTCGTTTCCTGGCGTCCAGGCCCCTTCTGTGGGATATGACGAGTATTTTACAGTAGGTGAAAAGGATGAACGCCAAGGGGACAAATATAGTAGTGGCTAAAATGAACACGCCATATATCGCGTAGCCCCCTGCGGGGGTCATACAGGAAAGCTTGGTGACGGCGTTGTTGCAGAAAATCCCATTCAGCGTGTATCCACATAGTTTTGAACCGTTGACTAAAATAAGTGACGGCACGAGCTGACAGGACGGCAGGAACCACGCTAGAACCAGCAGAGCTGTCACTGTCCTGCTCCTCATGACGGTTTGATATTGCAGCGGTTTACAGATGGCGACGTAGCGGTCATAAGCCATGGCTGCCAAGAGGAGGAACTCAGCACCACACAAAGAGTAATAAATCAAAGCCTGAATTTTGCATGCCAAATAGGATGTAGTCGGCACGTCGGATACGAGGTCGACGAGAAGCTTCGGGTAGATGTTGGTGCTGAGTAGGAGCGAGTTGCAGAGCAGAGCTGCGATGAAGACGTACATGGGCTGGTGGAGGCTCTTCTGGGTCCAGATGAGACACAGGATGGTTGAGTTGCTGCAGAGTATGAGGACGTACACGCTGGACGTCATCACAAAGTACAGAAAGCGGTGTTTCTGCAATTCAACGTGGCCGCCAAAAGTTATATACGTTGCGTTCGGTTCATCGTTCTTTCGATCCATTATAAAAGTTTCAACAAAGCAATGACAGGAACCCAAAAGGCGCTGCCTCACAGGAATGCAGTTCCTGTTAATGGATGTCACAACGTGGCGGTTCGGGTGTGCTCACCTCAAAGTGAGCTGTCCGAGTCCAGGCAAAGTTTTTATCCAGTTGCTTTTCTCTCCATGGACCTCATTAAGGTGTTTACATCTGACAGGAACTGGGTTCATTTAGGCCTAAGAACTTGGTCGTGAAAATTTCATCACTATTTGCTTCTCGTATGTCAGAAACTAAATGAAAAGTGTTACGTGTTTTCCAGCCACATAAAATCATTTTATAGGAACTATACTGACTTCAGGTGTTATAAAAACGCTCCATATCAAATGTGATTTAAAAGAAAACTTACTTCCTAATTTAACACCTTGAAATTGGGCCTCTGTCTCTTTAAGCTCCTGCTCTTTCAAAACTGCATCTCCAGAAAGTCAGCACAACACGGCTCCTCTACTATCCCTTGAACAAGGTTTTTACCAGCGTCGTTCTGAGAAGTAGCTCCTATGATGAGCTCTGATGCTCAGTTCCACCAGAGGTTTGCTAACTGCTGCTGGCTAGTCTGAAGGAGCTAAACTCAGTGGCTGCAACTGGAAAAGACGAGAAGACACACCTTCAGCACCCCCAGGCCTTTTCTGAATGGTTGCTATGGAGATGAATCCTTAGTGAACATGTATTTTGATTAATTTAGTCAATGAGTGTCGTGTCAGGACCTTCTTCGTAAGAAGAAGCACAAACCCAAAAGAGTCACTGTGTTCAGATTAAGAAATACAATTCACCTCCTTTTCCTTTTCCATGACTAAACAAGACAGAATATGTACACAAACAGTTAAAAGGTAAATAAAATGAGTGATTGGTGGGATCCTGTGGTGGCGCAGGGGCAAAGCCACGTAATGAGCCCTTATTCCTCGTGACGGTGGTTGCATGTTCGATTCCCGGCCTGGCAACATTTGCCGCATGTCTTCCCTCTCTCTCATTACCCTACTTTCAAATAAAGGCCAATAGTGCTGAAATGAAAGGAAAAGAAGTGATTGGTTGCTTCTAGAGGAGCTTGATTTTTGTCACAAATTATATTTCTCATAGTCGTCAACAAATATGTAAATAAGAAAAAATAGTTACTTATTTCAACTTCCATAAAAACATGACATTTAAATGTAACATCAGACCAATGGAGAAACAAAAGAAGACAATCTTAACACAGACGTGGGCTTAAGGAAAATAGTGTTTGACACCTGGTTGAAGGTCATCATGTTTCAAAAGGTTTTAATCGGACAAATGATCTGATTTACTAAGCAAATGCTGTGATTTCATGGGAGATAACAGAGTTTTGGACAGTCTCTATTGCTGTTATCTGATTATTGCTCTTGTGCGTTTCATAATTGTGACTTGATCTGCATGTTTTGTGCACTTCAGCTGAAATGATGACACCTCTTCATCACCGACTGACTTTATTAAAAAGAATGAATTCAAAATACACAACAGACTCAAAATATACACTTTTTTTTAGCAAAACATACGTGATCTAGGGGTTTCTTCTCCAAACCATGAGTCAAAAACTACTGAAACTGAAAATAAATAAAGAAAATAATAAGAATAATGATGAGTTCCCATCTTTGGGATCCATTGTAATCAGTACATTATTATAGATGCAGAATATCTTTTTCTGCAGTATTCTCCAATTTAACAAGCACAACAAAAATCCTCAACATGCGTCAAATATATTGGTCCATTAATTGTGGTTCAAAAGCAACTTTGAACAGGTGGTTGTCATGAATGAACAAAGATCCGCAGAAATCTTTTTTCATAAAGCCTTAAAAAAGGAGAGGAAACTTTTTTAAGGCTTTAGACAAACGACAACATCCCCTTTAGATGTTTTCACGTAGCAAAGGAACATATGAAAACTGAAATGTCACACTGATAATTATGTAGCATAGAACACTGTGGAACAAAATGCAATATGAATTGAAATGAATATTATGAATTAATTTTTACTATAAGAATACCATCAAATATAGCGATTTACATTGAAAGAATATGACAAGACCTAGTTTAATTGTGACTCTTATAAACCTTATTACACTAACTAAATATATGAGTCAGTTTAACAATAACTTTGTCATTATAATAGTGAGACAGGATCTAGGTCTGTCATGTATTTTCAGACATCTGTGATTTATTTAGATCATAACCTGAACTGAGCCGTCAGTTATTGTGCGTTTCATAATTGTGACTTGATCTGCATGTTTTGTGCACTTCAGCTGAAATGATGACACCTCTTCATCACCGACTGACTTTATTAAAAAGAATGAATTCAAAATACACAACAGACTCAAAATATACACTTTTTTTTTTAGCAAAACACATGTGATCTAGGGGTTTCTTCTCCAAATCATGAGTCAAAAACTACTGAAACTGAAAATAAATAAAGAAATAACAAGAACAATGATGAGTTCCCATCTTTGGCAGCCATTGTAATCAGTACATTATTACAGATGCAGAATATCTGTTTCTGCAGTATTCTTCAATTTAATAACCACAACAGTAAAGGTAGTGATTACACTAAAGGTTAACTTAAAGGAAAAGCATTACATTTCAAACATTAGAGCTGTAAAGCATCATTAAAGTCTGACACAGATGAAGACGTTCCCTCAGACGTTCACTTTGCGTTTGTCGCCATAGAGAACTGTTCTGAGGAGTCTGTGGATTTTCTCCACCTTCCAGCCGTAGATGATGGGGTTGAAGAGGGGATGGTACAGCACCACCTGCAAGGTCATGACGAAACGCGCCGTCCTGTCCAGGTCGACCTGCAGCCGGGCCACGACGACGTCGTACGAACACAGGCAGGAGAAGCTGGTCAGGACCAGCAGGTGAGGGGAACACGTCCTCGCCGCCTTCCTCCTCATTCTGCCAGAGCCTTAAGGAAACGACCAGGATTTTTGCGTAGGTGAACAGAATAAAAGCCATGGGCAACACGATGGTGTTCAGCACGATGAACACGCCGTACGTGACGTACGACGCCCTGGAGTCCATGCAGAACAGCTGGGAGATGGCGTTGTTGCAGAAAATCCGCTCAGCGTCGAGCGGCACAGCTTGTAGCTGCTGCTGATGAAAAGCGACGGCACGAGCTGGCAGGCGGGCAGGAGCCAGGCGAGAGCCAGCAGGGCGACCACCGTGTTCCTCCTCATGGTGGCCTCGTACTGCAGCGGCCTGCATATGGACACGTACCTGTCGTACGCCATGGCCGACAGCAGCAGGAACTCGGCGCCGCACAGGGTGTAGTAGGTGAAGCTCTGCAGACTGCACAGAGTCAGAGATGTGGTCTGCTCCTCAGACAGGAAGTCCACCAGGAGCTTTGGGTAGACGGCGGCGCTGAAGAGGAGCGAGTTGAAGAGCAAGGCCGCGATGAAGACGTACATGGGCTCGTGGAGGCTCTTGTGGAGCCAGATGAGACTCAAGATGGTGGAGTTACTGCAGATTATCAGGACGTACACGACCAGCATGACGGCGAAATACAGAAACCTGAACCGGTGCAGCTCCACGTGGCCGCCGAAGGTTATCCGCGTGGCGTTTAGCTCACCAGCCATGGCGTCCATAACAGCTGAGTTTTAAAGTACAAAACAGCAATTGTTTAAACAGCTGACACGAATGTGGAAGGGAACTTGGGTGGGCTCACCTGAAGGAGCGAGTCGGAGCGAGTGAAGGAGTTTTATCTGACTTCGTCCTCCTCTGTGGATTTCATTAAAGTGTTCACATGACAACAGGTCAGGGCCTGGAGGCCGAGAGCCTCCAGGTGGTTCTGCTTCACTCAGATTGTAACCACATCGCTTTTCTCAATAATTATCATCATTTGTTGGGTTTTACTTGACTTAGTTTCTAAACGAGGACCTTAAAAAGGGAAGTATTAAGTGTTTCCCAGGCAAGAAACGAGCAGTAATCCTTTGGACAAAATGTACTTTGAGGAGTGTTTTTACTCTTTTATTGTCCTTTTTACATTTACTTCCTCACTCCACCCTGATGTTGTCTATCCTCATCTAATGAGATGGCAGCGTCTCAGGCACCCGACTGTTATGCTGTTTGTCTTTTCTTTGTCATTCTGGCTGAAACAAATTTCGTTGTGCTGCAGGCCGATTCCGATTGTTGAGTCATTTTATTATGATGCATCGCTAACTTCAGCAAGATTTCTGGATGCTCTACCCACCGTGTGCAACGTCACAGAACGAAGAACAAACCGACCGATTTCACCAGATACACTGGTGAACTGCAGGGTCTAGTTGAAGTTTCATTAGTTTTACAATGAAAGAAACTGATTTGGAAGAAACATTAGTCATGTGAACTGGTCTTTATTCTTACTTGAATGCAATTAGTGGGCTTAACCAACTTCTGCCTCACATTTCACCTTAAAAATATGTCATTCCTGACTTCACTGAGTGTTGTCTTCACTTTAATGTGCAGAAGAAAAATAAATATACAGCAAAAACAAAAACAACAACGACCAAAAAAAACACAAACATCTCCTCTGTTAGCTGCTGTGTTGAAAACTATCTTAACCACAGAAACAATTTGTTCATTCCATTAAATTTAGATTTTTTAATCACTGACAGTAAATGCAGCTTCAGTGAATCCAAGACACATCTAAATGAACATCATTACATTTTGAACTCCGAACAGTAAAAAGATTAGAGGGCAAACGTGTCACCAGATCACCGTGGGCTTGTTTTTTTGGCGACGATGAAGAAGAGCTTCCTCAGATGTCTGTTAATTTCTCTCATTGAAACCGTATATGAACGGGTTAAACAAAGGGTGATACAGAGATATCTGCATCGTCATTATGAATCGGGCAATTTGGGGGAAATCGGACTGCACTCGGGCTATAACCACATCGTAGGTCATCAGGCAGAAGTAGCTGGTCAGAACCAGCAGGTGAGGCACGCAGGTCTCCACCGTTGTTTTCCTGGATTGCTTAGAGCTGCGCTGA